TTTGAGTGAACAGCTCTGAGGTTCCATTTGACATCGTGCCTTGTCGTAGCCTTTACCTGGATTAATTTTTATGTGGTCTCAGGCATTTAAACACCATAAATTAACAAGTGTCAGGTGTTGGGGCAGCAGCTTACAGCAGCACTAAAAGGTAAATAATGAATGGAATTCTTGTGGTGAATGTTTTGGTAGTGGTCAGGGGGAAGCGGGGCCGATGAGGCAGAGGCCTTGGGAGAACTTCAGAACACAGCACACTCTGATGTCTTTTTATGTTGGATTTCATTTTGTTATTTGATTTCCATTTAATGTCTGCCAAACTTTCCACAAGGGCCCAGACTGACAGAACAAGGGGGAATGCCTTTAAGCTGAAGGAGGGTGGGGTTAGATGGGATATTGGGAGGAAACTCTTCCCTGGGAGGGTGGGGAAGGGTGCCCAGAGCTGTGGATGCCCCTGGATCCCTGGCAGTGCCCAAGGCCAGGCTGGACATTGGGGCTGGGGGCACCCTGGGACAGTGGAAGGTGTCCCTGCCATGGCAGGGGGTAGCACTGGATGGGCTCAAAGGTCCTTTCCCATCTAAACCATTCTCGAATTCTAGAGCTCCACAAAACAAACTCGTTGCAGCCCTAAAACTCCACCCAAGCTCCAGCAGTTCATTGCAGGTGTAAGAACCAGCAGGTTGGTTCGGGAGGCTGTGTGAGGTGAGTGATGTGTAACCCCTGTGTCCCTGTCCCCTCCCAGGTACGTTCAGGCTGAAATACGCCCCTCCCTCKGAAAGCCTGGACTCCACAGACTGACGTTTCCCCACCTGGCACCACGATGCTGTCAAGCCATGGAGAGCGACGGAGATCGAACTACAAAACTGAGACGTCCAGTTGCTGTTAAGCTTAATGTATTTTTTAATCCAAAGGTGCTTTACTTTATTAGACTAGGTAGAAAATCTAGCTTAGGGGTGCAGCCAACCCAGTTTTGATTGCCAAATTCAAGCTTTGTTGTTGGAACTCCTGACTCGGTGTCCTCGGACCGATGGATGGAYGGAYGGATGGATGGATGGAGCTGGCCAGCTGCAGTTCCTGCTGGAAGTACAACATCCCACGTATGTTTTTGGCTGGAGAACGTTGCCATAATTGGACTTTCCAAGGTGAAAAGTCTGACTCCAGGGCAGCTCYGTTCTGAGGTGGAAGGTAGGAGTGGCCAGAAGGACTTTGGCACCCCTGGGCTAGGTAAAATGTCTACTTTTTTTCAAAAGTGATCAGGCACTAATCTCTGGGATTTTTAAGGATTGCACTACAGAAGAATGTAAAACTCTTCAAGCTTTCTGCACTTTTAGCAGACAGTGTCACTCTGAGACCAGTGCAAGAGGCAAAGAAGTTCCAACCTTTACAAATTGGCACCAGCAGGCTTACGGGACTTAATTCCACAATAAAAATCCTAAAAAGTCTCTCTTTTTTCCCTTCCAAAAGAACACACAYGGCAGTTTCGGTTCCTTCTGGAAACAAACTCGTGCTTCATTGTCTCACCTATTACTAGCTAGTGCTGGCTTCCCAGCACTGGAATAAACTTAGTTTCCAAGGGTCCAAGTCCCAGAGACTCCAGAGTCATAAAGGCTTCAAGRATATTTTCCTGTAATACACAAAACCTTTACGTCCTGTTACTGTATATAGGTCTCTTTCACAGAAACCTTATTATTCTGCTTTTGTAAATGAATTTTAAACCATCCTAAAACAAAAACAAAAAAAAATCAAACTAAGAACTCTGGCAGCAGAGTTGATAAGCTTTTGCTTTACTTTATATAAAATACCCTTTGGCTCCTACCCCAGGATTCAGGAGTGGTAGGAGTCAAACATGTAAAAGGTAGTAAAAAACTTCATTATTATCAAGACTTGGAAGGATTTCTTGTCGGCCTCCTTCGTTGCAGTAGGTTGTAGATGAGTAGCTTTGGTGTTAACTACTTAGTCCATCATTTGTGGGTGACAAATCTAAATTAGGACTCGAGAGGAAGCCAAACCCATCTCGAACTGCTAATTTGAAACACTTTGGTCCTGTCTGGTTGAAAGAAGATCCTAATCCTCATGGCTCCCCCCGGGAATTTGATGGCATTAAAATGGGTGAGGCCTCCTCTGTAAAAGTGTCTGACAGAAAGATATTTGCATCCTGTAATTCGGGAGACACCTTGAAAGTCTGAAAYCTTGTTTACACTTGGAGGTATTTCCTTCCAGCAGGATGAACCCGTAGGATTTGTGCAGTGACTGGGGAAGTCCTCTGGGAGCAGGAGGGTTTGGAGCTGAGCAGAGCTGCCCCAGGAGATGGGGACATGTGAGAGGGGTGAGTTCAGCCCTTCCTGGGCCGTGGGCATAGGAAAGGAACATTTTGGGCCATCCTTGTGTCCCTGCCTCTCCAARGGTGGTCGAGACCATGGAGCACCTGGAGAGCCTCGGGAATGTGGGCAGGCACAACCAAACTCGGCCCAGGGAGGGATCCACCATCAAAATTTGCAGAACGGTTGGTTTAATCAAACAAACAAACAAACAAAAAGTTATTTTTATTGCTATGCAATAAGAACCCCCCAGTTTGTGTATTCCCAGCCCAGYTCCCACTCCCTGCTGGCTCTGCCTGCGTTTGAGGACGTTCCCTGTGTTCCCATGAACAACCTTCAGACCTACAACACTAAAGGGATGAAAACTGACAATGCAATTTACTTTGCCTTAATGAGCTCGAGACAATGGTAGGAACAGTCTGTCCCACTGCATCATGCCCAAGGAAAACGTGCAGTTCCATGTTTACTATTTGCAGCTTTGAGGGTCTCTCCAGTGGCCTGGAACATGTGCTGAAAGCCAAACTTAGTGTTATTGTTATTATTATTATTGTTATTATTATTATTATTATTATTATTATTGTCACTTTTTTTAAACAATATTTTTAAATTGTGTTTAAAGAAACTGTATTTCAACACACATGTGAGTGTTCAAAACCCTCTTAAAACAGCAAAAAAAAAACAGCAGCAAAAAAAAAAAGTCATTTCTGTACCAGTTGTGTTTTGTTTTACTGCCCAAGGCTGGGCACAGTTGTGTCTGATCTTCATCACAGAAAAAAAATCATATCAAAAGGACTGTAAAACTGAACTTCTGTCCAGCAAATTGTTTCATTCCTTTCTCCAGAGCTTTCTTTAGGATCCTTTCCTGTGTGTAGAGTTAAGGCTGATGTTTCCAGCAAACTGTTTCATTCCTTCCTTTGGGATCGTTTCCTTTGTGTGAAGTTAAGGCTGATGTTTCTTCACGTGGCTCATGGCTGTGGTTGGGCGGCGCTTCGGAACAGTTGGCTCTGGGTTTGGAGTAAGATCCAATCCAGAAGGACCTGGAGGCAGCAGGAATGTCTGAGAGGAAAATCTGGTGAGCCAGCAGCAACCTCAGAGCCTTCCCCAAATCCCAGCGAGCTGGGGCTTCAGACCTGCCAGTGAACACCCTCCACTCTGTACCCAGAACAACCAAAGTTGGTAAGTCCGAACAGAGCACCTTAATTCCATAAAATTATCCTTAATCTCTTCTTCAAAGGCACAAATCCATCTTTTTACCCCTAAAAAGCAAGGCAGCTTGGGTTGGAAATAGAGTTCCAGCTGCCATGCCTGAAGGAACCAGTTCTGAAACCCTATTTTTGTACATTGAAAGATGGAGATTTCAAAGAATGTTATTTAGCCCTATCTTTGTCCTACAAGTATCAAAAGAATTAGTTCTTCAGATGGATTTCACTGTGGAATGGGAATGATTTTTCAATGTAAGAGGGAAGGGAATCCCCAGCCATCTCCCTGCAGGGGCATGGAGAAGCCAGYGAGGAGCCTTTCCCAGGGGAGGGAGTGGTGGCTGGTGCAGTTCCAGCTGCATTTMACATTTGATGATGGAAAGACTCAAAATAGGATGGAATTTCCAGCAAACTCCTCCTCACTCTCTGCAAATTAAGCATTAATAAATATTCTGGGCTCGACCCTAATGGGGACAGCAGAGAGGGAGAAGAGGGAACTGAGATATTGATCAGAGGGTTCCACTCTACTTTTATTGAAAACTACAATTGAACTGTTATTAAAATTTCTCAAAACTGGTTTTTATTCAAACCAGCTGTGTCACAYTCAGCTTTTTATGAAACCTTTTCATACCACGGTCATTAAATCTTGGCAAATTAAGTGCCAGACTTCCCAAAATAACGGTCCAGCACCAGAGTTTGGCCATCCATCCCCCCAAATCCCATTTCCTCGCTGGCCAGCTCCAGGCAGAGAAATCCTGGGATGAGCCAGGCTGTGGCACTGGGCAGAGCAATGCTCCTCCCAAAATCCTGTGGGGGAGCTGGATTCRGGCTGGTCTGGACCACCTATAAAATGGGATGAACATGGGCAAATCTGGACAAAAATCCACATAAATGCAGTGTTTGTGTGAGTAGAAATCACTACGGCTGGTTGAGGCCCCACAGCTCTTGTAATGAATTTTGGAATTACCCATGAAATTTTCCTGATGTACGCAAGAACCGTGTTGGTACTGAAGCAGAAAGCAAATCCCGTGTGTTTTCAAGTGCAGATTAACAGCTTCTCTTGGACATAACTTTCCATTAGGAATGAAGGAAATTCCTGCTCCATTTGAGCCATTTCTTTTACGTCGATCACTTCTAGTATTACAAATTCTGCATGTAACTTTATAAATATTTTAAATAGTTTTGTAAATATTTAATATTCAGCTAATTTGATTTTGAATTGTAAATGTCAAGTATTCTGGTATTGGGATTTTTATGTTTTATTATACTTTGTTAAAAGTTAAATTGTACATTTTTAGAATGTTTTTATCTGAGTAAATTTAATGTATGGAAAATAAAGAGTTAAACAGAATCCTTTGGTATTGGCTTTCATTTAACAGGGATTCAGCTGTGCGGGGGCTTCTCCAGCTTGGCAGTAGCAGGGAATTATTTTTAATTCCTTTAATTATTTTGCTGTGAAAGTGCCTAGAAATAACCACACGAGCCGGAATTAAGTTGGGATGTAATCCATCCATATCAGCACTGTATTAATTTTAAAAAAGCAACATTTGTACAGGAATATCAGTCGATCACGTCGTAATTACAAGTACAGTTGTCAGTTATGAGTTAAACGAGTTCTTCCACGAACAGAACTAAACAGAGAGAACAAGCTGCATCGAAAAGTTCACGTCGGAGTAAAAACACAAAGGACAATAAAAAACGGGCAGGGGGCCCCGGGAAGGAGATGCATGCAAAGAGTGGAGGAGGTACAAGGTGGAGGAGGCGCAGCGAGCGCACCCCGGGGAGTGCCAGGCGCAGTAGTATTGCTTCTGTCCCCAAGGAACACTCCGGGGACCTACAGGAACACACAGGTTTGTCCTATGGGAGAGCTCTCCCTGCRCTGCCTTCTGTCCCTGCAGGGACACGGCAGCCTCCCAACGCCACAAATCATTTGTTCGTCAACTCTCGGCAGCCGCTCCCGGCCCTGAGCTGCTTCTCCCCCGATTCCCAGGCGAGGGAACGGCCAACCTCTGGGCTAGGGGCATGATCCTATGGATCACTGGGAGCCAGCTCAGATGAACACACAGGGATTGGGGATTTGTAACAGACKGGAGTTTATTTCAATGTTACCTGTCCAGGTGTGTATTTTACAGTTAGACACTTCCTAAAACTACAATAAAGCTGTGGTGTTTGGTATGAGTATTTCAGAAAGTGGCACCGCCCCGGAGCGTGCGGTGCCCAAAAACCGGAGACACAAAGAGTTGTCCTCCCCCAGCTCACCCCGAGCACTTGCCTTAACTCCCTGCAGCGCTGACACGAGTCTGATGGAGCTGCAGAAGAAAAAGCTCCCCTTTGGAACATTAAAATGCATTTGCTCTCATGAGAAACCTTCCCGTTTAAAAAAAAAAATTAAGGAATCGTAGGGAGATTTTCCAGCAAACTCACAGGAAGCATTTTAGCTCCTCCCTGGTGCCTGTTTGCTTGTTAAAAGTCAATCGAGTGTCCCTTTCTCTGYAAGTGTCACATGCACAACTGGGCTCCTTTCGCCAGGTCCAGACATGTAAATGTGCCTGTGTGGAATATTACAGGGCAGGTTTCAAAGCTGGAGGTGCTCGTCTGTACTGTTTAATAGTCACAAACAAGGCAAGGTGAGATGAGACACCTGCTAAAGCGAGACTATGCTAAGGACTGAGAGCGTAGGTGACATCCGGTTCTTTCCCTGGGGGGTGTGTGGGGAAGAGTGGGGGTGATGGCCAAGGGTCAACCCAAATCCTAGGCTAGAGCCGTGGCGTGTCCTAGGCAGAAGCTGGAGCTCCAAAGGTCTCCTGGGAGGCGTAGACCATGTAGAGGAATCCATCCTCGTCCTTCTCGCTCTCGTACACCTCGGAGATGGGCGTGGACACGCTCACCATGCTGTGCCCGTTCACCAGCAGGAAGAAGGCCTGGTTGGAGTTCAGCTGCAGGCGTCGCCTGGGGAGGGGGACAGGGGAACGAGGGACAAAGGACAGATGGCAACAGAGAGTCCTCAACACAGACAGCAGCAAGGTCACAGCACAGAACCGGGGATGGGTTGGGGTGGAAGGACCTTAATGCTCATCTCAKTCTGACCTCTGCCAGGKCACCTTTCCCACCCAGCCCTGTYCCTYCAAGCTGGACTRAATTCCTCCACTAAATCCAGGCCAGCCCTGTTCCTTCAAGCTGGACTGAATTCCTCCACTAAATCCAGGCAGCTGTGGCCACTGGCAGAGCCCTTACTCGGGGGGAAAGCTGCACTCCAGAAGGGCAATAAACTGGAGGGACTGGGAAAAGGCACCCCTGGGCCAGGTGATCCTGGCACAACCAGGCACCTTTGGCTTGCAGCTCACTGCAATGAAAACCAGAGATCYGGGGGAAGATTAGGAAAGATGGGCAGAGCTTCCTTGGAAAACCTGGGAACTTTTAAACTCCCTTTGTCACCAGTGTTGTAACGGCCTGAGTTTAACCCTTTTCCCCCTCCCAGGACAAGCACTGTGGGAAGAGCAGGGAGCCACACGCTGCACAAGCTCCCTGATACAGGAAATAGCTGATTTCTGGGTTTCCCTTGGATTGAYCATTCCAGCAGGGAGGAAATGGGTGTTTCTACTAAACTGCCTCCTGCAGGGCAGGTCTGCAGAGAGCAGCTCCTACCACTGGATAAACCAAGTGAGCAACAGCAACCTGGGTATGTGGAGCTGCCACCAAAACAAGAAGCAAAGAACAGATCAAAAGAGCTCCTGCTGCTCCCACTCACTGCTGAGGGGCAGCAGCAGCTGGAAACAAGGATTTATTTAGCTCCCAACCACAGCCCTGGACAGGGATCCTTCCAAAGCCAGGCTCTAATCACTCCAGAGACAGCAGGCTGAGGGAAGGCAGCAGCTCTGCAAGGTTTGGSAAGGATGGGCTTTGCTGTGCATCACTGCAGCTGGCTGAGGCCCAAGTCTGGCTGGTACCAAGTTATCTATTAACAGCAAAGCCAGAGAAAAAAGGTGGGAAAATCCTTCAGCCTGCAGTTAACCTCTTTGCCCAGGGCCCTTCATGTTCCTGAGAAACTCTGGAATACCTGAGCAACCTGCTTCCTTTCTCCAAAGCCCTACCTCCCTTTCTTATTCACGTAGGAGCTGGGATTTATTTGCCTGTGACAGTTTTTATTTGGACACCTTGGACAACTCCCACAACCTCCATGAACCAGCTCCAGCTGCAGCGTGACCAACACAAAACAAAAGTTTGCTGGTTTGCTGCTCACTTCCCAGTTCCACTGCAGAACTTTAGTGGTCAAACACTGCTGCTGAGCCAGCAGAGATGCACTTCTAGCACAACTTGTGACCACAAAACTTCTACTCGAGGCTGTTTGCCTTTCCTGTGAGCTGAGCTCAAGGCAGGCTGTGCAGGCAGGGCACAGACACTCWGGCCTGGTGGGTGCTGTCACAGAGGGAAACCTCAACTCCTGATCAAAAGGTGCCAACAGCATCCCAAGCAGCAGCACAGAGCTCTGGCTCCGAGCCCRAACTCCCCTTCCCAGTGGGTGGGAAGAGGCAGCCACTCCAGAGGGGGATTCTGTGGCAGAACACTCAGGAGGCATCCCAAAATAACCAAGCAGGAAGTGCTGGAGCCCTGGGCAGAAGGACCCAYGTTAGACAGGGATTCACAGCCCCAGACTCCCTCCTACAGCTCTGRGAACCAGTTATTTCTCTTGGAAGAAACACTACCAGCTCAGTTCTCCTCAGAGTGGGGCTTTTCCAGCAAAGCAAAACAAAAAGCACCTTCTCCTGGATTTGTCCTAGTGCTCATTAGAGGAATTTTCCATTTAGACCTCCCAAGTGCACCGGGGTGGGAGGGAATTAACAGAACGTCACAGTCCGAGGTTGATCAGTTGACACTGGAATCCCAGCAATAATACCTGATAATTTTGATTAGCTCRCTCATGTTGACATGATCTGGCACCAGGAACTTGGTCTTATCCAAAACTGGAAGCTGCTTCTCTCCCTTGTACCTTTCRATGATCACCTGAGAAGGAACACAAAAAGCAGAAAATATGAAAGGAAGAAACAGTCTCTCATGGTCTCATCTCCCTGCTCCCAGCTCCATTTCCCTTCCTGTGTGAATGCAGCATCTCAATCTGAAAAGCAACAATTCATGGTTGGAMTCAATGATCTCAAAGGTCTTTTCTARCACAARCAATTCTGTGTTTCTATGATAATTAATKATCTTCACGTGCTCCTCTGTTCTGTTTGCAAGAGCCACTGCACAGAGGGGTAACACACATGGTTTTTACAGCACACATCTACACTTTGGTGCAATTTTAGAACAATTCCTTTGCTGCAATCATTTAACTCAGCACTGAATTAGCCAGCAACAAGGAAATCCAAAGAAAGATCAAACCCACTTCCCTCTAACACACTGCAGTGGCTGACCAGGGGCTTGGGTGTTACAAARGTCTGCCAGATAAAGCTATTTTCACTGGAATTTCTCCAGTTTCAGGCCATCTYTTTAAGAACTCAACTCCAGATGACTCTGCTGTTCCATTCACCTCCCATGGTTCCTTCTAATGCATGAGAAAAAGCTACTTTGGAAGGCTATAAATCCTTCAACGCTTAATTTCCAAATTAAGGAGAAAATTTCCTCAAGCATGCTCAAGAACCAGTAATTCTGCCAGGATTGCTGTGTAGTAACCACTTAAATCACCAAGAAACTGCAGATTTCCCAATTTAAGGAACACCCTGCCCAGCAACTGAGGGTAGTTCCTGCTTTTAAAAGTGATCTCGGAATTGGTGTGCTCCCGTTTCCATGGCCATGTGGGGTTTGTTGATTTTCAATCAACAGGAGCTACATGACACCAGTCCCTTGGATCCTTTCCATGCCCACATGGTCTGGCTGTGTTGATCTTAAAAAGCTGCACAGGTGAAGAGACACTGAGCTCATTTAATTGTGCCAAAGATCCTGACATCAGTTGAAATAAATGCTGGATCATTCTGGCCAACAAACCCCCACTATTCTGAAACAGTCAGATCCTAAGCAGTAGATATTTCTAAAAGCAGAATGGAGGATGTTGACAGCACAGGAGGCATTTACTGTCCACTGTGGCATCTCATCCAGAACTGCTCATGATAATAATGAGGCAGTGACTGGCCCAGCAAGGCTCCAGGGATCCCAGCAGGGATAACTGGGGGTTTGCATCATTGCATCTCCAGCAAATTCCTTAGGCACCTTGGAATTTTTGCCTGGAATCTGTCCATGGCTGACTTAAAATTAAAGTTTTGTTATAAATCCCWGGCTTTCAATCTGTGGTCACAGAGCTTGGGGACCACAGCTAAGTGGTCTTTGAAAGGTGAGTAAAAAGCAATATTTGTCAGGAAACAGATTTGTAAGGAAAGYGCCTTTTGGGATAACGAAACATTCCAAAAAAATCAGAAAATCCCTACTGTGAAGTATTCCTTGTTCCTTTGCCCCACTGCACAGGAAAACAGCAGAGGCAACTCTGAGGTGAAKGAGCTGAAAGCCCAAGAAAAGCTGAAAACCTTTCAGTTTCTGTTTCTGCAGCAGCCTCAGCCAGTGAATGTGCTCAGGCACCTGGGGCAGTTTGCAGCAGTTGGTTCACAGAATTTCCACACACTGGGGTCACCAGATCTCATCACAGAGCCAGGAATTCAGTTCCCTCTGCTGAGAAACTCAGSAGTGACAGAACACAATCCATGCCTTTTGCTTCTAGGATGCTCTTCGCTTTTCTAACTTTGAGGATGCCATCAATAAAATAAAATACAAACTCAGGAAACATTTGGAGCTAAATAGTGACAAGGTGAGGGGTGATATCCCATGTGAGGTGAGCTGGAGGGGTTTGACAGCCCAGCAGCATTCCTGGAGACCTCAGCACAGCCCCATTTCCTGGGAGAAAGCATTTCCATCCTCAACACAGGCTGATGATCAAATCCATATCTGCTCTACATTCCTGTCTATTCTTCCTAGTGAGGCTCTGAATTCAGACTCTTCATTTGGAGAAGAGAACCACTGAGAAACAAAAACTGAGTGCTCAGGAGGATCTCGGAGCTCAGYTGGGGTGTGGTTTTCTTCCAAGTTACAACACACAACTGCAACAGGCCGGAAACCCCATTTCCTCCAGCCCCCACCTTGCTCCACCAGCCCAACTGTGAGGATTACTCCTGGAGAATGCTCCTGAAATCCAGGCTTAGGCACCCTGAACAGCCACATCCTTCATTTGGTCTCCTCAGGACAGCTYTTTCAGAGGTTTCTAACTGCTAAAAAGAACATGAGGCTGGAAGCTGAAGTAAAAAATTAAAAGAACTGGACTTACTGGTATTTTAGTAGGATGCTGATCTCGAATCAGTCGTACATCTTCCACTCTTTGTTCTGCAAGGGATAAAAAAAAAAAACAACCCTGTTTAAACATTTACAGTTCATGCTGTTATTCCCTTATTTCTCCACCGCTGAAGAGAAGAACCACATGTCAGGAAAAGCCAGAAGAGAAAATTCAGGCAAAGCAATTTCCAAATGGGCCAGCACTATCAGGAGTACAACCTCTCCTGTGACAGCTGATCCCCTGCTCCTTAACCCAAGGTGACAAGTGCTGTGTGCACCTGCCTGGCACTCCTAGAAAGTGTTAAAGGAGATCCTTCCCTCCCCACACCCCCTCGCTTTCTGCCCACTGAGGAACACATTTAACCTCACACAGTTCCAGCCTCAAATTACACCGCCCAAGTTAACAACTAAATACCCTGTGCTATTTCTGTGAGGTCCCACAAGAGGAAATGGTCAACAATTATTTGAGCCCCGGGACTGGCCCAAGCCTGGCAGCATCAGCTTTCCTTGTGTGTGCTCGTGTTACCGAATTCCAGGTTTTATTTTGACTCGGCCGCACCCATTGTTGCAGGAGCTGCTGGAAGCTCTGCCGGACCTGCACATTTTGCCACCCTCCGTGCCAGTTTTCAGGATAAAGTTCACCTCTCCTCAGACAGAAATAGTAATAGAACAGATATCACGAACCAGGCAAAAGTACACGAGGCAGAGTAAACAGCCCAGCTGCTTTCAGGGGCCGCTGYGTCTGTGTATCCCCTGCATACTTTCAGATTCAGTGAACTCARTTTTAACCCCTTTGTTTTTCAGCGGGACGGGGCTTTCCGGGCTGTTTTCATGTTCCAAACAGCTCTRAGAGAGATGATTTGGTGTTGCATCACGGCTCCAACACCAACCTGCCTATGCAGAGAAGCACTGAGGCCAGCTCCCCGCTGGAATGCTAATGGCATAACACTGCCCGTGCCGTCACTCAGCAATAACATCCCTGTGTCCCCATCAGCCGTGTTTGTGCCCGTGGAACACATCCTCCTCACCAGCTGCAGGAATGCAGCTCCCCTGAATCACCGCTTGAAGCTGCAGGTGAATCAAGCACAACTAAGGCAGGGAGCACGTCAATCCTTCACCTGAAAGCCACCCCACACCCCGAGCCACATTCCCACAGCCCAGCCGGAGCGCTTCAAGGGCAGAGAGTTCCACCTCGTTAAAATACTTTTTAAGATTAACCAGAAACACAAAAGATACGTGGAGGCAGCGAGACCAACCATCCACCCGGCAAGCTCGAACTTTTCAGCTGGAACAGGTTTGTTCACAGCAATGTTATTGGGCAGAACTCCCTGGAGTAGAAGGAACGTAAACCGGGCAAATCGTGGAGATTATTGTGTGTGGCGTGCTCAAAACCAGGCCCCAGTCAGCCACAGATAAACACTGTTCTCTGACGACAGTAGTTGCAGTGGCAACTGCTTGGCTGCCATCCTAGCTGAACTTAATACCTGCAGCAGAGGCTGCTGACAGGCGATGGGGTCAACAACAGTTTTGGAAAGCTCCGAGAAAAGGGACAGCGTAAACACTGAGTTTTGTCAGACCGAAATCCTCCCCGCTTCRCTGCGGGGAAAAGCTTACATTCACCACAACAGCAAAGGCAAGGGTGGGCACATCACAAAGCTCTCTTAAGCAGCTTGACTTTAACCCAAAGGCAGGAAGAAAGGAAAATCTGGATCAATTACTTCCACCAATTCCATCTCACGTACGGGATTTTATAGTTCATGCAGAAATAGGTTACGCTGCCAGTTCTTGTTACCCTCGCAGCGCTTCACCCTCCCTCCCTGACACACATGAGCAGATCCGGAGCCCTTTGATTGCTCSGGTCCCATCCTGAGCGCACACACAGAAGCGTGGCACGGCTCTATCGAGGCTGCTCCTTCTCGAAAGGSACTAATCTCATTTTCCCAGCCATCATTACACAGCTCTTTTCCATGCCCTGCTAGTTTTCCACACACAAACAGATGCAGCAGCCACACGCCCCAGTCCGGTCGCTGCTGCCCGGGTGGAGRATTCCTCGCCCCGCTCCAAGCACCGGCTGCCAGAGGAGCTTTAATTCCGCTGCCACTGGCGCAGAGGCCGCCGGACACCGAGCAGACACCGGAGGGAAGGGCAGGCCCCGCTCCTGGCACACACACCGAGGATGTTTCCAGGCTCCTGGGAGTTTTGCAGTCGATAATGGATGATGCCATGAGATCTCCCCAGCCCAAGCCCTTCTCCCAGCGCAGAGCTCAGCGAGGCACAGCACTGCTGCCACCCCACAGCTCGCCACACCCCRAAACCCCCCTGTCCCGAACCGCCGGGCTCTCAAACCGGGTAAACAAGCCGCGGAGGCGAGGCCAGGCCGGGCTTTGACTCCGTCGCAGCCCCAAGCAGGCCGGGACACCGGAGCGGGGCCGCTCCGCCCGCGGAGCCCCGCTGTCACCAGGAGCCACCCGGGGGTCTCCACCGCCATCGACCCCATCCCCATCCCTCCTTTCCCCGCCGCCCGCCCGGGCCGGCAGCACCGGCGAGCCCCCTCCACGGCCCCCGCCCCGCCGCGTCCCTCCCCGCGTCCCTCACCGAAGGTGCGGCGCTGCTTGAAGCTCTTCTCCGAGGGCATGGCGGCGTTGGCTCGGCCCGGGCCCGGCGGTGGCTCTGCGCGGCGGCAGCGGACACCTCCGAGTGCCGGCGCCCGCCCCCCGCGCCGCCACGGCCGCTCGGCCGTCAGCTGATCCCCGCGTCACGGCCGGCCCCGCCTCGCCTCGCCCCGCCGGCATCTTGAGTGTGGCACCGGGGCAGCGCCATGGCATGGCWTGGTATGGCACGGCATGGCCGCCTCGGGGCCTGGCTGCGTTCTTCACGGTGACACACGGCCATCGTGCCGTGTCAGGGTCATAGTGTCCTGTCAGTGTCACCGCTGTGCGACATACACTGGCCTCGGTGCCAGGCCGTGTTCTCCTCAGTGACAGCCATGGCCACCTTGTTGCCAAGTCGTGTTCTCTCAGTGACACATGGCTATCGTGCTGTGTGAGTGTCATAGTGCCCTGTCAGTGTCACCGCTGTGCGACATACACTGGCCTCGGTGCCAGGCCGTGTTCTCCTCAGTGACACACGGGCATCGTGCTGTGTGAGTGTCATAGTGTCCTGTCAGTGTCCCCGCTGAGCGACATACACTGGCCTCAGTGCCCTCTCAGTGTCCCTGCTCTGCGACATATGGCCATGGCCACCTTGGTGCCAAGCAGTTTTCTCCTCAGTGAAACACGGCCATCGTGCTGTGTGAGTGTCATAGTGCCCTGTCAGTGTCCCCGCTCTGTGACACAACCATGACCACCTTGGTGCCAGGCCATGTTCTCCTCAGTGACACACAGCCATGGCCTCCTCAGTGCCAGGCCATGTTCTCTCGGTGACAGCCATGGTCACCTTGGTGCCAGGCCGTGTTCTCCCCAGTGACACACAGCCATGGCCTCCTCAGTGCCAGGCCATGTTCTCTCGGTGACAGCCATGGCCACCTTGGTGCCAAGCAGTTTTCTCCTCAGTGACACACAGCCATCATGCTGTCGGAGTGTCAGAGTGCCCTGTCAGTGTCCCTGCTCTGCGACACAACCATGGCTGCCTCAGTGCCTGGCCGTGTTCTCAGTGACAGCCATGGCCATCTTGGTGTTAGGCCGTGTTCTCCCCAGTGACACACAGCCATGGCCTCCTCAGTGCCAGGCCATATTCTCTCAGAGACAGCCATGGCCACCTTGGTGCCCGGCCATGTTCTCTCAGTGACAAAACCGTGGCCACCTCAGTGCCAAGCCATATTCTCTCAGTGACATAGCCATTGCCATCTCGGTGCCAGGCCGTGTTCTGTCAGTGACACAGCCATGGCCACCTTGGTTTCAGGCCGTGTTCTCTCAGTGACAGCCATGGCCACCTTGGTGCCAAGCAGTTTTCTCCTCAGTGACACACGGCCATCGTGCTGTGTGAGTGTCATAGTTCCCTGTCAGTGTCCCCGCTCTGCGACATACACTGGCCTCGGTGCCAGGCCGTGTTCTTCATAGTGACATGCGGCCATGGTGCTGTGTGAGTGTCATAGTACCCTGTCAATGTCTCCGCCATGCTACACACAGCCATGGCTGCCTCAGTGCCCGGCCTTGTTCTCTTCAGTGACACAGCCATGGCCACCTTGGTTTCAGGCCGTGTTCTCTCAGTGACAGCCATGGTCGTCTCGGTGCCAGGCCGTGTTCTTCATATTGACACACAGCCATCATGCTGTCGGAGTGTCATAGTGCCCTGTCAGTATCCCTGCCCTGCAACACACAGCCATGGCCATCTCAGTGCCAGGCCATGTTCTCTCAGTGACAGCTGTGGCCACCTTGGTGCCCGGCCATATTCTTCATTAGTGACACAGTGCCATGGTCGTCTCGGTGCCAGCCGTGTTCTCTTAGTGACACAGAACCATGACCACTTTGGTGCCAGGCCATGTTCTCAGTGACACACAGCCATGGCCACCTCAGTGCCCGGCCACGTTCCCCTTCAGCCACAAGAAGAACAATCTCCCCAGAAAAACAGTAAATCCCCCAATGTCAGACACTTTTAAGATTCAGCTRTCTTGTCTAGACTGTGCTTTTGACAAGAAAGGTTGGACCAGATGATCCTTGAGGTCCCCTCTAACGTGGTGTTCTGTGATTCCATGAGCCCTCAGCCATGGCCACCATGGAATGGCCCACAATGTCCCCTTCAACACGAGCACTAAAGCACTTTTCTCCATGCAAAGGTGCAAGTTCAATCATCTGTCACCAGTTTGCCTTCACATTGACCTGAGTGTGTAGTAGAGTTTATGTCTGGGGAACAAAATTTTAGGAGCAGGTGTTCCAGTTCTCTTGGAAGCCACCCCCTGGTYTGATGCGGTTTGTGAGGAATTGATTAAATCACAATTTCAGTCGCAGATACCACGTTGTGAGTAAAACTGCCCAACTGTTTCCTGCTTAGCAGCTTTCTGACACAAGCTGTTGGCTGGAGCCTTTCAGCTGCAGCTCTCTTTCTCTCTCTTTCTCTCACATGCATTTCCAGTGCCATGTTTTGAAATTTAAGGATGATTTTGCAGCAGTAGGGTGACACGATCTCACTGTACAATCCAAGGGACAGGGAGCTTTGGCCAAGATTGTCCTTAGGAATCCAAGAGGAAGGACAGATTTCTAACCAGCTTAGAGATTATCAGTGATTTTGCATTTTTGGGATGGAGCGATGCATTGAAGTTGGAGTGAATCTACACTCACAGGAAGGAATGAGGGTTCATGACCTCATTTTGTGATTCGGGGTCATACAGTTCCGGTGGCCTGTAATTACGAGGCCATTAAAGATATGACTAATAAGGAAAAACAGCCCCAAGGTATATGATTGCTCTGTCCATCACATCACTGTCCGGGGATAGCAGGTGAGACATGGATGACCAGCAGAACGCTGATACATCTGCAATTTAAACCAACAATCCCAAATTTTTGTGTCAACAGAACTCTATTTAAATGTCTGCCTCTTAAAAAAAAAAAACATTTTCCAAGCTGAGAAAATTCTGCCATGCTCTCAGAATTGCTTCTGAAGGCTGAAGGCAGGAGGATGAGCCCKGGTGAAACCCCATCACGTTATTTTTGGGGTGTCCAGGTGCGTCCTGGTGTCGGGGCTGACGATTCCAAGCTCTGTGTGCTGTGTGGTTTGCATCCACAAGCCGCCTGTTAGCAGGGCTGCAKCTCGGGCTGAAAGCATCCATATGGTGCTTGGGGAGAGCCACAATCAGAGTATCTGCTGACAGGCTGGGCTATCACATGTTCCTCTCATAAATAATCCGCAGAGACTGTGAGAAGGAAACTTAGATCCACACCGAGACTCGCTTGACCTTTCCCTCCTCATCTGAGCCTTCGCCCGTGYCTGCGTGTCGACAGCACAGACAGTTGGCGAGTCTGGATTTGAGGAAGGTGTTAGGAGCAGTTGGAATGACAGCATGGACATAGCCTTTGGGATCAGCCCTGCCTCAGCGCAGCTCCCCAGCCCTGGTGAGAAAATGCTGCTTYGGAAAAATGCTTTGGCTTCAGACTCGGCGACGGCGTTGGAACGGAGCCCTTGGAAAATGGAGCCGCAGAGCGTTTTCATCCTGGCCTCAGAATGCTTTATGAAGCATTTAGGCTGGAGAAGAGGAGACTTATCCAAAAGGGGACATTACATTGTCTTCAAATATGCAAAAGGTTTCTGTAGACAGAAGGGAATTAGCTCTTCCCTGCGTGCAGTGGGACCAGAATGAGAAATAATGAGCTTAGAGCTTGGAARGGGCCRWAGAAATTAAACACTGGGCTGAGGGTAAGAGTCGTGGAGCACCAGAAGAAATTCCCTAGGAAAGGAATGGAATAATCACCTTTGGATATTTTTATTTAAGGAGACATTAGTAAAACATCTGTTCTGAAGAGTTCAGGGAGAATCGTTCTGATCTCAGGGAGAAGGATGGGGTAAATAATCCCCTGAAATCCCTGTCAGCCCTAGTTTTTYATGAGGCAAAGGAGATGTGATTTCCCAAATTTACAGAGCAGGTTAGAGCACGGCTGTGTTTGAATTCCTCCTGTCTTCACCTAATACACCAGGCTAAATRTGAAACAAATAAAAAGCAAAACAGTTTTTCCCAACTGCTCCATCTTCCACAAGGTTGGGTTGATGTTTTTTTCTTAAAAAGCCAGCATGAACAGTGACTCCAAACCGTAGCTGATATTCACAGCATTTCCCTGGGGAAAAACTCCCACTTTTCCTATTTTTTCCCCCGCATGAGCTGCCTCACAATGAAGCGAGTGTATTTCACATTCAGAATTATAAATCATCCCCTCATTTTTCTGCTACAACAAGACTGAAAAGGCTTTTTTTTTTTTTTCCTAGGGAACAGACGAAGCTGTTCCTCTGCAGTGCTGAACCCTTCCTGGAAGACAGAGCTCAGTGTGTGGGGCTGTGAGCTCAGCAGCTGTCAGCAGCATTAAATTCACCAGGAACACRGAGAGAAAAGCCCCATAAAGTAAAAGGAAGGACACTGTGTTGATAATAACTTGCATTTCAGCTTGAATTAAAATACCTCCCCTCAGTTCTTTTCTCACAAATTGTTCTTATCGATCTGGCTCAGGCCAAGATTAATGTGGGTTTGTTTTTCTCATAACTGTGCAGCCATTACCCAGCTGCTATYGGAGATTTTCAGGCAGAATCCAATTGTGGAGAATTGTTTGCAATGCCTTAAAATAACTCTTCTGGGAAGTTTTCATCTTACATTTGCCTCAAGATGGTGGCTACCCTTAAGAACAAATTATCAAAATTCAAATTTTGCCCTCTGAGTTAGGAGAATTCCAGGAAGAAGTGATGAGAATGACAAAATATCTCTGGTTTGGGGGTAGARAAGTGTAATTTGAGAAAAGTGAATCTAAAAAAGCCACTCCCAGAACATTTTCCCTGGGAGGGTTTTTTTCTGTGGTCTAACAACAGCTGAGCCCATCCCTCAGTGGGAACAAAACACTTTGTCTTTTGGAATATGACAGGTTTTAGATTATTAGAGTGCTTTTTTTGGATGGTAAATCCAAACTAACGCACGAATGTGTGCAATGTCATCACTAAAACATCATTTTCACCAAATGTTTGGCTAAAAACTCATTGCACTGTACAAAGGATTGCCCAAGACATCGTTGCTGTGTACCAYAACTGACATCAGTTCC